CAAAGTGATAAACTCAGATATCTTCAAGCGAGGCAGCAAGAATGATGGTGACTACTCCTGGAAGGGCACAGACCTTCCCCTATACGTTGCAGTGCTTGGTTCAGGTTAGGTCATATGCAGCGGTTATGTAGAGTGATAGATGGTTTTACGCTGATATCATTGCTATGGGATACTGCAGGTTATGATCGACCTAGACGGATCATGTTTTGAGGATTGTATCCTGAACAAATTGATTTCACCGTACCACAACGGTCGTCCTGGCGAGCATTTCAAAATTATGCATAGGCTTAAAGAACGCCAGCCTACTCTTGCCAGGTTAACCTACCTACAAAGGCTACCTACAAAGATACGAGGTAGAGTCGTTGATTAGCCTTTTCTGGGAGACGCCATGCATGCAGGTCTTACTCGTACTTTTGAACTTAAAAGTTTAGTGTGGGTGGCTAGCAACTATACCTCTTCCGTTTTTTCCCTGAAAGAGGGCGTGGTTTCGACTGGGGCATGTTTCCCAGATTAATCATATGTCATATCCTCAGCGTGAGATGAGAATATTAGCACGAATTTGTGGAACAACCTCTTAGAATGGGGAGTTTTTGAGAACAATTTTGCCTTCTAGACATGATTCGCGAAGTTATTGCTCATAATTTTGACTCCGAAAATCGGCAGTGGTCAAAACCATTGAATTTTAGATTTTAAGTGTTGCATTTTTTCGAGTTTAGTTGTTCCAGTACTTTTATTGATCTCTCTCTCTTTCCCACTGATATCATCTTCATTTTGACAGGAAATTCGTCTTGCAAAAATCACACCGAATCCATTTGTGCAAAGAGAGGAAGGTCCTCCACCAGACATGAAACTCTACTACCATCCTCACTGTTTATTTGAAATGTTCTTCAAGGCACGTGCTAATACAAAAGTCATAGAGGGAACGGAGGACATCGAAGGTACCCAAGCAATCCCCCTATTTCTTTTCCACACACACCCTACATTTACTATTATAGGGTGGGACGCTGTGCAAGAAGAAGATAAAGAACCAATTTTGAAGTTTATCAACGAGTTGAATGAACTGCGAGCAAATAAAGAAGGGGGAGGAGCAGCAAAACGCACACCGAAGAAGAAGGCGGAAGAGACGGGCTCTTCTGCAAAGGTGGATAGCTGAGTGTTTATTCCTAGACGTTTTACAGATTCTTTCAGATCACTTACTTTTGATGATGTTTCAAAATAAGACATTCCCGCGATAAGTCACCTAGCACCATTACCATTACGAGAAATCCTAACCCAACTCCCAAACGAGTCCCAGGCTAGTAAAGAATTCGACATGGTGATAGATGGAAAGAAAGGTTCA